CGAATTTAATTGTTTCATTAGTTTAATGTTTAATGATACATCGCACATTTTTATTTAGCTGAAACAGTTACAGATATCTATACTCAGGTGACATGATACAAGAAGTCTGAGTACAAAAGAACTCTTGCATTTAACTTTTTTTTGCAGACAGTATGGTCTGATACAAAGTTTTTTCAATTTTCAGTGAAAAACTTGCATGTAATTTTAGTCTCCACAGGCATATATTTCAACCACTTGCTATCCTACAGAAGAAAAGAAAGATAGTATGTGAAATGAAACAGGTTCAAAAGACATTGTAAAGTGCTCTTTATACAAATTAAGTTAAATCTTTATGATGGACTTTAACTTTTATGTACCAAGCTCCTCCACTTTTACTTGCTTCATACAGGCCGTTAGACGAGGACCACTTATACAACACATTTCGCACATTTTGTCTGTGATAATCTACTTTTCTCTAGACTCAGAGTTCACAAATGAATAATACAACTAAAAGCCTAGAAACACAAATATTGACACAGATAGAAAGTCAGAATGCCCCTTATGCATAGAAATAGAAAAGGCTTTGAAATGCTTGTTTTGACCATATATAGCAAAAATAAACATTTTGGCAGATTTTCTATCAAATAAAAGTTTAAATCCTCTACTTTCATGAAGTTTGACAAATTGACACCATTAAATAATTCAGGGAAGTTGGCAAAGTACAGTTTCTATATTTACTGATTTCATCTTTTAGGCCCGAGAAAACAGTGTTTTTGTTTTAGACAATAATTTAAAATTAAAACAATCGCACCTGCGCTTTCTCAATTATATTTTTACAGTGTGGTGTACTACTTTTGGGACAAATTAATTCAAAATTATAGAAAACGTCAGCTCTAACTCAAAATATGGACAATTTTATTTTAAGGGGATCTTGCATTCTCTTGACAACTTCCGAAATACTTATTTTTAACCTTTTTTAGCTAGACCAAATCACACTACTTTACTTTAAAATTTATGACCCAATTTTTTTTACAGTGTAATTTCATCCCACAACTTGCTATTTGAGGCATAAAACATGAAGAAATAAATTTGGAAGGGGTATGAAAAATAATTGCAAGTAGTACATTGTCCACACTAGGGACCACTTAGTTCAATATATATGCAAGCACTGGTTTAATAATTTCTATAACATTAAAATTACAAGAAATTTATTTCATATGACTTTAATCTTTTGAAAAAAAATTAATAACAAATAAGTAGTGACTAAAATTAAGTTCACTAAAATCCTACAAACAAACAATGAACGGTTCAACAAATATGTTATTTGTGTCCCCTGAATTGTGTCTTAAGTAAAGCTGGATGATTTTGCTCTCATGTAAGGGTTTCATTCTAATATGATAAGTAAGGCATCATTATTTGTTTTAATGAAGTTCATATTGAGCATAGCAGCACACATATTGCTCACCAACAACAAAAAAAAATCTCAATTAAAGACTACACATGGATTCGTCTTCGTTTTGGACAAATCAGCAACAATCTAAATCATCGTGCCTGTATGCGAATCACTAGTCACAAGATATAAAAAAAAAACATTTCTATTGAAAGTTGAAATTGAATGTTGAAAAGAAAAAAAGAAAAATCAAAAAAAAAAGAAAAACTAAATTTTGAATGTTGAATGTTATGTTGAATATTGAAAACGAATGTTGAATGTTGAAATCGAATGTTGAAATCGAATGTTAAATGTTGAAATCGAATGTTGAAATCGAATGTTAAATGTTGAAATCGAATATTGAAAAAAAAAAACATTGAAAAAATGTTTTGAATGTTGAATGTTGAAATTGCATGTTGAATGTTGAAAACGAATGTTGAATGTTGAAAACGAATGTTGAAAACGAATGTCGAATGTTGAAATCGAATGTTAAATGTTGAAAAGGAATGTTGAAAACGAATGTTGAATGTTGAAAAAAAAAACATTGAAAAAATGTTTTGAATGTTGAATGTTGAAATGAAAAAAAAAGAAAAACTAAATTTTTGAATGTTGAATGTTCTGTTGAATGTTGAAAACGAATGTTGAATGTTGAAAGCGAATGCTGAAATCGAATGTTGAAAAACGAATGTTGAATGTTGAAAACGAATCTTGAATGTTCAAAACAAGTGGTAAAAAAAAAAACAAAACCAAAAAAAAAAAAAAAAAATTTTGAATATTGAATGTTGAAATCGAATGTTGAATGTTGAAAAACGAATGTTAAATGTTGAAATCGAATGTTGAAAAACGAATGTTGAATGTTGAAAAATGAATTTTGAAATCAAATGTTGAATGTTGAAAACGAATGTTGAATGTTAAAAAAGATTATTGAATGTTTAACACGAATGTTGCAAAACGAATGTTGAATGTTGAAAACTAAAAATGAGAAAAAAAAAATGTTTTTGAAAAAAACATTTTGAATGTTGAATGTTGAAATGAAATGTTGAATGTTGAAATGAAATGTTGAATGTTGACAACGAATATTGAAAGTTGAAATCGAATGTTGAAATCGAATGTTGAAATACGAATGTTGAATGTTGAATGTTGAAAACGAATGTTGAATGCTGAAATCGAATGTTGAAATAAAAAAAAAAAAAAAATTCGAAAAAATTTTGAATGTTGAATGTTGAAAAAAAAAAAAAAAAAAAATTGGAAAAAATTTTGAATGTTGAATGTTGAAATCGAATGTTGAATGTTGAAAACGAATGTTTAATGTTGAAAACGAATATTGAATGTTGAAATCGAATGTTGAATGTTGAAAACGAATGTTGAATGTTGAAATCGAATGTTGGAAAAAAAAAATAAGAAAAATAAAATTTGGGGAAAAAAATCGAATGTTAGTTGTTTGATGTTGAAAACGAATGTTGAATGTTGAAAACGATTAAAAAAAAAATTAAAAAAAAAAAAATTTGAATGTTGAATGTTGAATATTGAACCAACTTGATATCCGTTTATCATCGGCAGGACTAAGCTCATTGCTTTTGCTTGAGCTCCAAAGATATTACATCTTATATCCAATGTGCATCTTTTAGAACAAATCACTTAATCTTATCTCCAAAACTTTCAATCTTGATGTTTAGATAAGAGATTTGAGTAAGAAAGCTTGTTTAACATATTATCCAAATTGCATAGCAATTTATTTCTCAGAAAAAAAACCCAATAAAAATACACGAATATATATGTTATAGTAAGATAGGTAATAATGTATTAATGTGTATTTGTATTTTCGTTATCCGTAATCCCGGTATTATATATTATTATAAGTCGTTCTTACATGTACTTCCATGGTAAGAATTAATACGACATATCCTTTTTATTCATATCAAAATCGTTTCATATTATTTAACTTAAACAAATAAAGGAATCAATGTCTGAAAGCAATTTTGAGGTTAATTACAACAAATAAATACATTTTGGTGTTATCTACATCATATTTTTCGTTTCGTACCGCAAAGGGAAGTTATTTGCCATATTTCAATTGAATGTCTCGGAACGCAACGTAAATCTTAAGAGATCAACCCCAGTGTTTGGTTGGGTTTTGTTTCCCAGTCTTTAGTTTTCTATGTTGTGTTTTTTTTCTGTTTGTCTTTTCGACTTTTTCGTCTTTTGCCATTACATTGTCAGATTGTTTTCGACGGATGATTTTGAATATCCCTTTAGTATCTTTCGCCTCTCTTTTCAAATCATTACGATTTTTCTGTCTGAAAGTCGCAAAACTGGCAAAAAAAGATTTTTTAATTAAATTCTTCTTTTCCACGAATTTCCCATTTGCAACAGACCATTTCAAAAATAATATCCGCTTTGAATTTCTTTATTTTCATCCAAATTGCAATATAATGTAACTGCACATTTCTACTTACAGATTTGCACCTGATGTTTTAAATTTTTATTTTCAGAACGCTTAATGCGAACAAACTGCGTTTTGCTCTCTATGGACTACTATTATATGACAGTTAACGTCACATATAATAAAAGACTGAAACGATGGTATCTTTTATAAATGTATAAGTTTTTACTTTAAAAATCTTGGACAAGATACCAAAAGGATATTTACTCATAATTTGAAGACAAACAGACAACGCCATAGCAAGAGAAGAAAAGAAAAAAGAAAAAAGAAAAAAAAAAAACAGTCTACAAAAACTGACATGGAAAACTATAGATTTACCGCCGCATCAATATAGGCTTATGAAATTAAAAAAATAACAGCAACATTTTTCGCTTGGATCGATTACGACTGATCGTCGTTGTTTAATGGTCTTAGTTACATCGCAGCGGCGATTATTGATAGAGGAAGCCGCAGTGCCCAGAGAGAATCCTGGAGTTCGAGTTCATAACCTTAGCATTTAGACAGGCTTGCAGTTAAACGACTCAGACAACTCGGTCACGGTGCTTCAGGCTTTATGGAAATGTCCAAAATGTCCAAAATTCAATCCAAATCAAGTCTAAAACAACAATTATCGGTTTTTGTCATGGAATGTTGTACAAAACTGCAAACTTTTTAAAGTATAACTTTCCTGTAATCATTTTTATGGTAAAACATTCGATTTCGCGTCAATATAATTTTTTGCTTTTTTTTGCAATTTCAGGCGCTATGTTATCATCCGTTCCATTAACTACTTTATTTACACATCACCTAATTTGGAAGACGAGGGAGTATTACCTTCAAAATTCTTGTCTTATATAAGGCTTAGTATCATAACAAAACTTTCAACAACAAAAAATTCATGAAAATTCAAACTTTTAACCAAACTCTGTAAAATACTTTATGGATTTGTGAACAGTTAGTATCTTGAGATCCTTTACATGTACTCTCTTTGGTATCATACTGTTTGGTCCATGTTTTAATAAGTTTTTTTCCGACGTCTTTACACATTATAATGTATATCTATTTAAATATGTATAATCAGTTTCAAAATCATCAATTAATATAATTTTTTCAACCATGCAAAACGATAACAGAAATAAGTTTAACACAAACAAGCAAAGATTTGCTGTTTAAACCCAATTCCCAAAATAACGATAGACATTAGAATACGAAATTAAACAGTTACTGACGAGGTGATATAAAGAGTTAAGATAATCTATGACTCTGTGCACAGGGAAATGATCTAAGAATTTTGCATAATATTATAAATGTCAATCTTATAGCTGGATTATATTTTACAATAAAATAAAAAAAAAAACAACAGCTACAATAATATGTGCTAACCGACACAGGAAGAGACACAAATTCCTTCTTTTTAATACGCACAAACATTCACTATTTTTTGGTCAAAAGAAAATCCTGAATTTCAAACGACGTCTGGCACTGCTTTCCAGATATTTCGTCCTCGGCTGTGACGTTTAATTCTGTTCCGCCAAAATGAAACTTTACATCTACATGTCGTAGATGTACGGTTGGGGTCATAATTTCGACGTATACGGTTCCAAGCTTTGAGCATGTTTCGTCATCTGTATAATTCACACCTTCCTTTTCAGTAAAAAATATAGGCAGATTATGACTGTTTTGAAATTGTTGAGTCGTGGTGTATCTTTTACATATTTCTTTACCAACATTGACAGATGTATTTGACATCACAAAAGGACTAAACACCTTATCACAATAGGGTTTTCCGTCAATATATATTTTTTTCTTTAAATCATGTTTATTGCTGTCAAAACTGGGAGTTATTTCCATCCCATATGTATATCTCATTACACGTGACGAAATATAATCGTGGTCTACATTGAATCCAGACAGTACAGCTCCTTTCAAAACCGCTGTACTCCCATCTTCTGGTACAATTACTGTTTTTCCAGGGAAATGAGATTTGATAGCAGCTTGGACTAGCTCGCATGAAGCAAAACCACCAACAAGCAATATATATTCAATATGTAATACTTCTTTTTCCAATAGAAGTTCTTGAATCAAAGAGACAATCTGGTCATTAGTTGGTTTGAAAAAAGACTTGGCGTATTCAGTTCTGATTCTTATCTTATCGCCATACAACGTCAACCTATCAGCTTGAGAGGAGTTTGTTAAAATGGTTCGAATATCTTCATTCAACTCTGCTCTACATAGTTTATCTAAATCGGCAAACGGAATAGCAACATTTTCATACTTGGATTCTCGAGACGTTTCAATTGTTCTTTTTGTTGCTTCGAAACCTCTTATTAAGCTCAAATACGAATCAGGAAACCGGTCTTTAAATTCGTTGAGAAATGGTCGACCAAAAATCTTTATAATCATTTGAATATACTGATTATCAACTGAGGTTCCACCGCAATCGTCTCCAGTCGCTTTAACAAGTTCTTTTAATGTCCCATTTGAAAGCTTTTCGTGGACAGTTATATCAGTCGTTCCTCCTGAAAACAGGAAAAAATGTTAATTAATTATTTAATAAATTGCAAACATCTGCTGAAGTTTGTTGGTGTTAAACAAGTCATGATACACTGTAGCAACAATGGAACTTAAGAAGCAATCAGTTCAGCTGTGTTACAGTGCAGAAATCTCTTCAAAGCTGGCGATGAATAAACTAAAAATCATATAATACGAAGCCATGATTAAAAGTTTTGGTAAGTCCTTTGTTCAATTATTTCCTTATGAGCAATGATACCTATCAAGGCAAATTGAAAATAGAAAAATTCAATTTATATCACTTGTTAAAAAAGGAAGAAAATTCTTTCTGCTCCAACACAGAAATCGGGCAAAACAGTCCTTGCTTTTACCTTTTACTGGTATTCCAAGTATCGGATAATAAAACAACAAGAGTGCACACGCTGAAATGTCTCGCCTTCTTTACTAATCATTGATATTATGTTGATAGTCCTAAATATAAAGCTTTATTACAACTGTCACATAAACTTAACATTAACCAAGTAAACTAAACATTGACCAATGAACCATGAAAATGAGGTCAAGGTCAGATGAACCATGCTAGGCATGCATGTACAGCTAACAATTCTTCCATACAACAAATAGAGTTGACCTATTGCTTATAGTTTAAGAAAAACAGACCAAAACACAAAAACTTAACACTGAGCAATGAACCTTGAAAATGAGGTCAAGGTCAAATAAAACCTGCGTGACTGCCAAATAGATCATAAAATATTTCCATACACCAAATATAGTTGAACTATTGCATATAGTATAAGAAAAACAGACCAAAACACAAAAACTTAACTATAACCACTGAACCATGAAAATGAGGTCAAGGTCAGATGACACCTGCCAGTTGGACATGTACACCTTACAGTCCTTCCATACACCAAATATACTAGACCTATTGCTTATAGTATCTGAGATATGGACTTGACCACCAAAACTTAACCTTGTTCATTGATCCATGAAATGAGGTCGAGGTCAAGTGAAAACTGTCTGACGGGCATGAGGACCTTGCAAGGTACGCACATACCAAATATAGTTGAACTATTGCACATAGTATTAGAAAAAAAGACCAAAACTCAAAAACTTAACTTTGACCACTGAACCATGAAAATAAGGTCAAGGTCAGATGACACCTGCCCGCTAGACATGTACACCTTACAATCATTCCATACACCAAATATAGTAGACCTATGGCATACAGTATAAGAAAAACAGACCAAAACACAAAAACTTAACTATAACCACTGAACCATGAAAATGAGGTCAAGGTCAGATGACACCTGCCAGTTGGACATGTACACCTTACAGTCCTTCCATACACCGAATATACTAGACCTATTGCTTATAGTATCTGAGATATGGACTTGACCACCAAAACTTAACCTTGTTCACTGATCCATGAAATGAGGTCGAGGTCAAGTGAAAACTGTCTGACGGGCATGAGGACCTTGCAAGGTACGCACATACCAAATATAGTTATCTTATTACTTATAATAAGAGAGAATCTAACATTACAAAAAATCTGAACTTTTTTTTCAAGTAGTCACTGAACCATGAAAATGAGGTCAAGGACATTGGACATGTGACTGACGGAAACTTCGTAACATGAGGCATCCATATACAAAGTATGAAGCATCCAGACCTTCCACCTTCTAAAATATAAAGCTTTTAAGAAGTTAGCTAACGCCGCCGCCGCCGCCGCCGTAGCCGCCGCCGCCGCCGCCGCCGGATCGCTATCCCTATGTCGAGCTTTCTGCGACAAAAGTCGCAGGCTCGACAAAAACGATTTAAAAGAATTGATATGGAGTGCGCGGGGATCAAACTACAAGCCAACTGAGTCACTATATCGCGATCATTGAAGCAGTTTTAAATTTGGTACTATTAGCCTAATAATCAAGCTTTGAATGCGAACGAATTGTCATAAAAAAGTATTTGGTTTGTTTTATCTATTCGTCATCTGGAAGTCGTATAGCCTCACAATCTGAAATCAAAGATGTATACACATTTGCGAACATACAATTATGAACTTTTAAAAGAGTTAAATTGACAAAAACTCTAAGTCAGTTTTTTTAATGAAATCAGAACAAAAGTTATAAAAAATAAATTCTAGAATTACTTACCTCCAATATCAACAATCAGATATTTTGCCCCATCTTTTACAATACTTTTACAACCAACAGGTGGAAATGTCTGGTAGTATATTGACGCAGCTTCTGGTTCCAAAGCTATAGATAACATATCAGATGGAATACCTGCCTACAAAACAAATGACCATGTAATTAACATCGATTCAGGACGGTATGAGGTAACAAAACATCAGTTGTTTGATAAAATGATAACATTTTAAATTTTTGTTAAAACATCGTTTTTATAGTCACCCACTTACCATTCATTTACAAAGAAAAATAATTTGTATTCTGAGTGTTTAAATAGTGATAATATCCAGAAATCCAATTTTGTGATTTCTTTATTTTCGTTACAATTATCTACTTATTGGCACCAGAGCAACGGTTTGTTTGTCTGTAACCCTCAGTCTCATGTTTGGGAAAACTGCAGGGTCCATGGTTGAGCAATATTCTGTATTCTGTACAATTTTATATAGGGTTGATATTTGATATAATAGTTGCATTTTGTGCTCCCGTTTGTTTCCTTCCGCACTGCAATGCATTATTGTCATGTCTTTAAAATATCTATACTATATATATTATACAATATTTTTGTATTGATGATGAGTTTATTTACATAAATCATTTTATACCATTTCAGCACTTTTTCTCATAAAACATTTTGCTGTTTCTGTCCATATTGCTGGAACCGTCAATACCCACTTAGTTTTTCGGTCATCTAAGTACACGCCTCTAACTTCTACCGTTTTTGTCAAATGTTTCTTTAGCGCTTGAATAGAAAGTGAGAAAACCTCTACAGCTGGGAGAGTTCTTCCTCTTATGTCCTTTAACAGCATTGTCATAGAAATTTTCTACAATTTGATGTATATATGATATCAGTTGATTAGAATTACTCATGGTTTCTATGTTGCAAATGATTGTATGATTTTTGCTTGATTAACGCCCAGTGACAGTTATGTAATGCATATTCAGGATGATAACGCATTAACAAGGTTTCCTGATCAGATTGAAATGCGCACAATTAAGACTGCTACTGGAAATGAGATTAAGTTTCATAGGGGCGGAAATTAAGTCTTGTGACAAGCCACACGAAGACATGTCATAGAGTTGTTGCATGGGATACTAAATGAAAAGACAGCGTGGCACTCTCTCTGAACGAAGCATCAATTTAACGTCCCCATTTTGATCGAGTTTATACATCTCGAACAACCAAAAGAACGTCAAACTTCAGCAAGGGTTTAATGCCAGAGCGCGATAATTCAATGATGACCGCACTTTTATATTCCAGTCAACCATCGGTGTATATTCCACTTAAAGTTAACTTTGGCAGACGGAGTTTGATCTTTTGTCTCTTAATAATGTCTAAATCTATCAAAAAAAGTTTTCCACTCTTACCTACCGAATCTATGTGATCTTCATTAAACAAAACTAGGAAAAAGTCTCAGGAATAAAGAACATCTTATTCAAGAATTTTAGAGTCAACTTAAAGCTGTATTAAATCAAAAATCGAAAGAGCTATAGGGACCGTCAACACACTGGTCAATGTCTAACTCCATGGGTAAAAAAATAACGTGATATTGAATTCGTTTATAATATTTTCTTCAGTTGTTTAATAAATTATTAAGTTGTTTGTTTCAGTTAGGAAATGAACAAACTGCAATTGAGAAAATCGTCGTGCATTTGAAAGTCATTCATCATATTTAATGTAAAGGTAGCATATGTTATCAGTTGCTGTCTAGAAATAAAATATTGTAAAACAAGCCTCTCTTATCTGGTAGCGTTATATATCATATAGTCGTAAAACAAGGCGGAAGATACAAAAGAGACTATTGAAAATTATGTCGGAAAAAAGTATTGTGCTGTAAATGATATTATAAATTTATCATTCTGACAATGAACATAATTTATGCATAGTAAGTAGTATGCACGTATATATTACATATTACAGAGACTTTTTCGTCATTTATATATCTCTGTTCCGCTAACTAAAGTCATACTGGGTATTTTACTGAATTTGCGTATATACATTGTATACCAGATAAAATATTGAGATTGTGTCTTCTTATTTTAAATCTTTATCTCAAATCCCCATTGCTATAATGCTCTTTGAAAGGGAGAAATTAAGAGGTAGTGACTATTTTGGAAATCCAACCATTAGTTATCTATAGCAAGCTTGACTCCATAAATAATGATCACAGTGAACAATGATTTACGTTTTATATCTAAACAACACGCTTGCTACTCTAAGGATATAACTTGAAATAGTGATTAAGGTCAGATTACAACTATCTAACAAATATTTGATACACATCTGCACATGATTAACAATATAACATTAAAACACAGCATCTTTGTACAGCATATATATATATAACGCATAATTGAAATGATAACCCATTGAGTTTTAAAATCGATATATTCAAAAAAAAAAAGAAAAAACATAAGGGAGCATGAATTGTAGGAAGGACAATTATTCTGTAAAGAATAAATTTTCTTTACAAAACTTGCCAAAAATAGATATAAGAAGATGTGGTATGAGTGCCAATGAGACAACTCTCCATCCAAGTCAAAATTTATAAAAGTAAACAATTATAGGTCAAAGTACGGTCTTCAACACGGAGCCTTGGCTCACACCGAACAGTAGGCTATAAAGGGCCCTACAAATTACTAGTGTAAAACCATTCAAACGGGAAAACCAACGGTCTAATCTATATATAAAACGAGAAACGAAAAACACTTATAAACCACATCAACAAACGACAACTACTGAACATCAGATTCCTGACTTAGGACAGGTGCAAATCATTGCAGCGGGTTTAAACGTTTTAATGGTACCAAACCTTCACCCTTTTTTTGAAACAATAGTGTAAACTCACAACATAGAAAGACACACTATAAAATATCAACGGAAATGGCTTAACTCAATCAAAGGACATATAAACACCAGTGAACATACACTGAACAAAGAAATTTGATCTATGATACAATGTAAATACAAAATAAATAAACTAAGGGAAGAGTAATAAAAGTAACATGTTATACCGCTGTGAAATGTTAAACAATTTAAGAAAAACCATATATGCTCGAACAAAAATATCAGCCATTTGCAATTACTTTAAACACAGGTAATTGAAAATAATGTTGTTGATAGGTATACGTGTACAGTTCAAATAGAGAAAGGAAATATTTTTACAAAATAAATAATTTTGATGTTCATAGTACGAAGTGAAAATTTATAGTAATACCAAACACTCATCAAAGCTGGTATATAGACCAGATATAACCCTGAATAACATTTAATAACAAAAAAGCATTACAATTAGTATCAACAGGTCAAATAAACAAGAAAGTACGATTTGAGAGTACTCGCAGTTACTGACAGCTAGTTTAAAGCCAAAAACAATTAATAATAAAAAATCATGCATCAGAGACTTAAATCAACTAAAACACATCCCAGGGATTTAGTATTTTAACGTCATGGACAGTCAAAGAAGACATGACTTGTGCAATGCCAAACATAAATGTATCGACAGGCAGTAGGATAGTTAGAAGTTTAACCTCTTTATTGATCAAAATGAACGTGGGTGTGTCTTTATACATCCAGTTTGAAAAGAATACAAATTTAGTTATGTTTTAATTTGCTGATGACAAAATCGATATGAGTGCCAATGTAAACTATATTCAAAGATCTAATGACAAAATTGGTAAGATAACCTTTAATAATAAGTTTGTTTAAAGGTTCGATGAGTTCACACGGATCACAAAGTGATTTCCGCGCTTTAAGTACAATATTACCGTAAAATTTAGGATGTGAAATACCGTTTTTAATCAGTTTTCTACAGGTACAGCAAAATTTACAAATCAAATCTTTGTATCTATGAAAGAATTTAGTAAAAGTTTTACGTAATTTATGGTAACGAAATCCCTGACTTCATAATGTACCAGTGATGCATTGATTACGTTCGTTAAAATCTATGACATCACTACACACACGGGCATAACGAACAAGTTGGGATATATAAACACCGAATGATGGAGCCAAAGGAACATCGCCGTCTAAAAAAAGGAAAATTAACAATAGGGAATGAAAAGTCGTCTCTTTTGTCGTAAATTTTCGTATGGAGTTTTCCTTTTGAGATTGAAATGTCCAAATCTAGAAAAGGACAACTACTGCTGTTTATGTTAGATTTAGTTAAAGTAAGTTCTATTGGGTAAATTTCGGTAGTTTATTTAGAGAACTCTGGAAAAAGCCTTTTTGGGGTAAGTGTATGTATTTTCAGTAATTAACAAAAGAATAAATTAGAGAAAAAATTGCAAACGTTCAAAACAAGAATTTTACTTAATCATAAAATTATGAATTAATGACAAAGATCGGCATCTTCTTACAGTCGTGTAAAAGCTATACTCGATTTCCCCCAGAAATGAACATATTTGTATGAAGTCTTAAGGACTTATTCATTTTGAATCGTTCGATTAACTTATTCGTTATCAACAAAATAAAAAACATTTACTGTTGCCTTTATTTACTATCATTAGTAAAATCAATATCAGGAAAAGAGGCCGTATCTAAAATGTTCCATTATGAACAGATCAAATGCAATGGTTGAAGAATAGAAAAGTGGAAATAAAACTTTCAGAATTACTATTAATCTACACCTTAAGTACTGTTCCTCCATCCAAAGAAGGTATGGGTTGTAAATAACTATAAAGATTATTTGTATATCGAAATTTGTTTTTTTTTTACTTTTTTTTAAATATTTAAATATATTTGTTTTATTGTCTGATCATATCGTTTGTCCAAACTAGTTATGAAAGGAGAGGCGAAAGATACTAAAGGGACATTCAAACTAAAACGTTATCATTTGGATAGTTTTCAAAACTTATAATGTGCTTACTCTTCCGAAACACATGAGATCTCCCCCGGGGTACGTGTTACTCTGTCTTTAGCTTTCTATGTTGTGTTTTGTGTACTGTTGTTTGTCTTTTGATATTTTTGCCATAGCATTGTCAGTCTGTTTTCGACCTATGAGTTCGAATATTCTTTTGGTATCGTTTGCCTCCCTTGTATTAATAGTCGATCCTCTTACACTATATATTTCAATACCTTGTTATTGTGGAGGCTCATTTTGAATCTATGAAAAAAATAGTAATTATCTTGCATCCCGTCCATTACTATTTCTGCATACTTATTTTCAGCTTCATATCCAAAGGCTACTATTTCTTTTGTCGTCGTCAATAACAAGCATGTTGGTGTTTTTTCTGATGTAACATTGACAGTGCCAGCATTCCATTTCAAAGTGGATAAAATCTTAACCTCTGTAGGTTTAGTAGCAGGATAAGAAGTAGAAAAAAGACATCCAGAATAACTAGTACCAAAATCTATGGCTACGACGTACACTGGATCCTTCATTTTAGTGCACTCTGTAAAACAACATATTTTGAACCGATAATTATCAATTGTTTTTTGGTATCATAGTTTGTTAAAAATAAATATGAAAATAGCATTGATGTTTATACAAGGGCGGCAAGGGCAACAAGTACTACGAAATTTATTCTATTATGTTTCATTTTATAAATGCTTTTCCATTGCCTTCATTTATACACGTATTTGAATTTAATTCTGTATAATTCATGCAAGGATGTCAGTCCTGTATGAACTACGTGTTAAACTGATTCCCGGTTTTATCAATTGATCTCTAGTCGTAATCAAGTAGGAAAAGTGAGAGTTGCCTCCAATTGAACACAAAACTGTGTACGTTACTGTCTGAAATCAGGAATCAAAGTCTTGTTTTATATCATGTTTTTTTTTATTTTGAAATTTAAGTGTGGTCACATTTGTATGCTTGTCTGCTGAATTTATTTACAAATTGCACACATTCGGGCTGTGAGTAATAAACATTAAATTTATTTGTGGGTTTAATTTTACTGATACGCTCCTTTCGCTTGACGAATTAGGTATAATGGGGCTTTTTCTGTTACAAGTCATGTAATAACCTGCAAATAGTTATATAATGCTATAGCAATTTTATCTATATTACAATCTTACTGGAGTTTTCACACAAAAATATAATCATTCAATTGTACTTCTTGTCCAAAAGATAGGCCAAAAATATTAAAAAGATGATCAAATTTAATGACAATGTCATGGCAAAAACAAAACACGACCAAATGACAAACAATAGTATATAAAACGCAACATACAAAACTAACGACTGAGCTACAAGAACCCCGCTAAAACCAGCGATAATAGCAGGTGCTCTGGAAAGGTAAGCAGATCCTGTTCCACGTGTTTCACCCGTCCTATTTCTCAAATTGGTCGTGGTCGTGAAACTAACAAAACCTTTAAATAGACTTATCAAGAAGGGATATAGTTACGATACTGTTGTCAGGTCATTAAAGATTGCATATTTTGGCGTTAATATTGATTCACTTATAGGGTCTTTGCATCGGCACTAAACACATTTATTTAAAAACCAGTTGTTGGCATGACACGGGTTATGTTCTTCTCATATATGTTATGATGGTATGATACTAAACCCCTAACGGGAAGGATTGTGCCTGATATTCATATGATGAAGACATAATCTTTCAATCAGTTTAATTGAAGTCTGGAGCTGGCATGTCAGTTAACTGCTAGTAGTCTGTTGTTATTTATGTATTATTGTCATTTTGTTTATTTTCTTTGGTTACATCTTCTGACATCAGACTCGGACTTCTCTTGAACTGAATTTTAATGTGCGTATTGTTATGCGTTTACTTTTCTACATTGGCTAGAGGTATAGGGGGAGGGTTGAGATCTCATAAACATGTTTAACCCCGCCGCATTTTTGCGCCTGTCCCAAGTCAGGAGCCTCTAGCCTTTGTTAGTCTTGTATTATTTTTAATTTTAGTTTCTTGTGTACAATTTGGAGTTTAGTATGGCGTTCATTATCACTGAACTAGTATATATATATTTGTTTAGGGGCCAGCTGAAGGACGCCTCCGGGTGCGGGAATTTCTCGCTGCATTGAAGACCTGTTGGTGACCTTCTGCTGTTGTCTGTTCTATGGTCGGGTTGTTGTCTCTTTGACACATTCCCCATTTCCATTCTCAATTTTATGTTCCAAATTATATGCACACAATTTGCACGCATATTTTGTAAAATGCTGAGGATGTCCTGGAATAAAATATATACCTCACACATACTAGTATTCCCGCTTTACTTTTACCGAGTTAAACAAGTAAAACATACCACTTTAAACTGGTCCAATTTTTGGGGTGTTTGTTTGCAAGGAAACGCCCTGAAATGTAAAAGAGATCTAATTATTCAAACACATTTGAATAAAGGTTCTACATCTTCCAACTTTCTTTTCAATACTTTTAACAGTTCATTTGGTATATTCTGAGTAATTATTTTTGGATACGCAGTGCCCTATGCCACCATCTTCCTACCCCGTCATTGTGTCAAAATTCAGGGTCTGCCTCTACCAATGTTGAGTAGAGAAAGTAAATGTTTAATGGTAGATATACGAAAGCGAGAGAAGCAAGCAAACACCTATGTTAGCCATACTAATTAATGTACAATGACTGGTTTAGAATTAGACCTTATTTTCCATGTAAATAATGTGTAACGTAAACAACAGGAATGCAATGTGTAAGTGGTCATCATGATGGCACTTACGTAAAGCAGATGTCTATAATGTGAATTTTATTTTACAACATATAGTCCATAGATATGTTTTATGCAACTGGTTAGGTTTTTGAACAAGTGAAACTGGTTTAACTAACCTAGGATCGTGATTCTATAAATTTTGGCTATCTGGGAGAAAGACGGAAAGGCAGCTATCACACAGATTCTACTCATGAAGGCGAAGTAAGAAACAGAGCAGTGCTATACTTTCACATGTATATTTATAGCATCACCTTTTAAAATGATGCTCTCGATTTCGTTAAAACTTTTGACAGTAAAGGCATTGAAATTAATTGTGCATTTACGTATTCAATTAATTTGCACTACATAACTTTTTGAAATAAAATTTACAACCCAAATATTTTATTTTTCCTTTCGGTATTGAAATCAATAAAATATTAGAGCAATTTCATAGAACTGTGAACATCAATATACCAAATAGTACAAGTCAATTGTATATTCAACAATTCAAATAATCGTAAGTTATTTGCTGTTTCCAAAGTTTGATAAGGAAGGTTTGAAAACCTTGCTCCATATATTTAGAGCATAACTATTTTAACCGGGTTGTGCTCCTTACACACAAACTGTACTAAACGTAGTCCTGAACTAGTAATACAGGGTGCGCTTCTGACACATAATTTTCACGGTCATGATCACAAATTACATGTAGTTTACCGTACAATTTGTCTTTGTTTCACCTCAAAGGCGATATGTTTCTTTAGACACCAGGGGTCAGTTACAAGAAACTTCTCTTAAAGTTCTCGTAATTCATAGTTTACGATAGCACAAATAGAGCGCTAAGAATCTTTTAAGAGTGTAACCTGAAACATTCTTTCCTCGCCCTTTATTTTTCTCTTAACAACGTTTAAGAATACCCTATAAGTAGCTGTCTTATTCTAAGCACACTAACTAACTTTCTGTCCTGTCCGTCAAAATTTTTTTTCTTTGATTTAGTCATTGACTAATAAAATTTTCTCGTGCTTTTTGAAGTAATAGGATTTTTTGCTTATATAGTTTGCTAAATTATTGGTCCTAAAGAGGTTAACAACGTGGGAAATTCAAAGTCATATTTAATGAGTTTCTTGCAATTATAAGATTATGAAAATTATTGAACCAATGCATGCATATATATAAAACTAACTTAATGACCTCTATGAACGTATTTTCCTTCATTTTTTGTAATACTATAACGTATTATCAACAAATTATATTTCGTTCAGTGATTGTTTATCGAACGTAGCATAAGAACCGTAGCTCTTTTGTCCTGGTGATTTTTTTTGACTATTTGCGGACCATAATTTGTCAGCACAAATCAGAAAACATAATAAGGACCATTAGAGTTACAGTTCCGCAGCTAATCGCAAGCTAATCAACTTCAAATTTATACCGAATCTTGACATTGATAAACAATCAATACAGAATCATAAAACACGTGCAAAATAAGTGAATCGATAGAGGGGTATTATATTTTTTTCTATTTTTCCGTGCGTTCCCATTTGTTAGTGTATCTTTTCCAAAACAGTTGTTAATTGATTTGTTGTGTTTAATTTATTCTTTAAGTATCACTTATTACTAATTACCTTCTAGTGCACTTTTGTTTACATTCTTTCATCACAGTTTTCCAATCGCACTGGCGCTGTGCTTTGGCCGCAGTTTAGACGAGAGGTCTCGTAGTTATGGTCCCTGCATATGAAAATTTTCGGCAGTTAGAGTACAGGAAGACAACAATTCAATAGCAGTACATTTATGTAGATTTTGATAAGATAACGGACTTTTTTATTTTAAAAGAAAGTCCACGTTTACTTGTTTTATAGTACAATTTAACCATTCAAGTATATGAAAGGTAGTAAACTTTTTTTTTAAATTTGAAGTATCATCTGACTTCAAAGTTCACCTGGGAATTACATTCTCTTTAAAGGAGAGATGAATTGAAATGAAAATAAGAAGATGTTATTGGCAGCTAATTACCACCTATTGTTTATAGAAAAAAGATACCAAAGGGTTGAAAAGGGTAAAGTGGTTTGATTGAAAAATAAAAAAAAGAATGTGTTTGAGGATACAAATGCTCCCAATCAAGATTAAAAGGGGCATAACTCTAGAACGGTAAATGACTCAATGCCCACATTCAAACTCTGTCTGCAAGTTTTGGTTCTTAGCATTGTGTATAATTTTCATAAGGCCAACTAAATTTAATTAGTAGATTTTCATCCAGATTTTTGAAAAAAATGGGGCGGGTGGGTGGATTTTATTTTTTATAAATTTTATTTCATATGAAACACTCTTATGATGTGTTCTTCATACATGCAAGTGTAATAATACGCTAATATCATGTATATACATGTATAAAGAATTGTACATTTTTTTTTTAATTCTTAAATAAATATCTCTGATTGGCAACCACTGTTCTACATGCAATTGCCGCTTTAGAAACCTATTAATAGTATACAACAACAACGTGGATAAATGCTCTCTTCAGTTGGACTGCCTACACCAAATTTATTTTGCTTTCCAAGCTACGGTTTGTAGTCCCCATAAAATGAAGCAAATGCATTGGTGTGCAACACAAGTATTATGAGTACAGTCTGAGAATAAAATGAAATCTCAAACAGTGTTGAAAAAAATAGGGTTGGTGCTTATTCAATATTCAAATATAATATTACAATGTAAAACATGAACTTAACAAAAAAGAAGTTGTTTAATGACTCTACTGAGGGTATAGGGACAGAGGGTGTTTGCTGTTTGTCAACAAAAAA